GACACCAGAAATGGGCTTCACACATTGTACCCATGTGGGGAATTGAACCCGGGTCTTCGGCATGACGAGCCAACGCTTTAACCACTAGGCTACCCCATCGCCCCCAACCCACACAGGGATGAGAATTAGCTAAGACCCCAAACAAACCAATAGGGCTAGTGTATGTTTTCCATGCTAGCCTTGTAGAATGTTATTAGTTCTTTTAAAAAAAAGACTTTTGCCATTCCATTTTCATGTTCTATCAAACATATTCAAATATTTAGACTTTGTCAGAATAAGTCATTCCACTGGCTTGTGATGCAGTATTCATAGTAAAAAAAAACACCTAAAGCAAGTGTCAAAAAACATACTGTCCAAACAGGAAAGTACAATCATAATTCAATTAGCCCAAGGTAAGTTTTGGTAGCCTCATGCTTATGGAGAAGCGTTAACTTCATCCCTGCAACGGACCACAAATTAGCAACATTTGACTCAATAATACAAATCTTTTAGTGTGATCAAAAACTGGATGCATCTCAAAATATCCCAACATCTGATATTAAATAGTGATCTTGAAAAAACATATAAAATTTTGTTTTCCTCGTGTTAAATCAAAAATATTTCGTTCATGCAATTTTACCATAGTAAATGTGATACGTATCATGAATAAAATATTGCAATATATATAATAATAATGATACAAGTAATTCTATACACTAACAAGCAGCCTGCTGTGGAGGTGATTTGGCACATTGAAGAGACAATCTATGCAAGCAAGGTAACAAGCCACCTCTGGGCTCATAAACAATGTACATCCAATGACATCATCAACTGAACTACAGCTCTGAAATACTCAAACACAAATGTACCTCTTTTTCAAGATTCTTGTGCAATGGTGTTAAATAAGATAAAACATGGGTCAATTTTTTAGTTCTTAACAAGTTTGAAATCTTTACAAGGTAAAAATCATTTCAGTTATCAAAAGTTAAAGTACTCAAAAGAAGGTAACACAGGTTATAGTTATATACAGAATTACTGGGTGTTCTTTAAATTCTTTGAGTAGTATATCTTGACATTTACTTTTGTGTTTGACAAGATTTCAAATGCTGTACTCTGAAAAATACCCTGTGTCAATCAAACTTACTACTATACTACTCAACATTAGTTAGGGATTCTGGCACAATTCCAACTGTTCAGAAACCCAACAGGGATTCGTTCCTCAAAGTGATCGTAGTGCTACAACTGTCACAAGTCTATGCTAAAGTATGGGAGTTACGATGATCGTAGTGCTACAACTGTCACAAGTCTATGCTAAAGTATGGGAGTTACGATGATCGTAGTGCTACAACTGTCGTAAGTCTATGCTGAAGTAAGGGAGTTACGATCGTCTTAGGGTTACGATCGCTTTGAGGAACAAGGCCTAGGTAAACAAATGACAGACATACAGTTAACTACGTTTATAAGAAGCTGATAGATACAAGAAACTGACGGATATAAGAAACTGATGGATATAAGAAACCAAGTTTCTTGATCTTGACCACTTGCTGTTTATATTAGTTGAAATGCATATAACAAACTTCAACATAACAAACTAACATTAGTGGGCCCTTTAAATTGGTTATCACTGTATGTCTCCTTACATATGCTCAAGTTAAGAGAAGATCATATCAAATGTACGAGACAGTTTCAAGCAATAGTGAATACTATTTGTTGGACAACATTTTCTAAGAAATGAGCCATAATAGGAACCAGCTGACAAACTATCCCAACAAAGGTTGAGTAGAACATAGCCATTGTTGATTATCAAATTCAACATGTACATTACACTTGCTTGAAACAAACGAATTAAAATGTTATACGACTTTCCATGAGTTAAAGTATAGTTTCTGATCTTAACCTGGCAATACGTCCACGATTCACACAGACAGAGGTCAACCCATTGGGAAGGAAATACAAGACAGTTGAAAAGAGAAATACTAAGAAATATGTAAAAAGTCTCATAAAACTGTAAAAACAAATGTACCGGTAGTCTTCCTGAAGAATTGGATTTCATGAAATATATAGAATAATATGTAAATTTGTTAAAATGGCCAGTATATAGTTGTTCAATTTGCTTACAAAGACATAACTGTGTATATTCAACACAGGGTTAGCTACTGGTGACCAAAACCTTTCCTTGAAAACCTTCCAAGCCCCCTTTAGCTGCGCCCTGCATGCTATGATTATTATTATTATTGTTGCACGATCAATGCCAGCATTTATCATCTAGTTTATCAATGATAAGTGGCACTGAGGACTGAAACAGCCTGATGCTATCACATCAGTTTGTGAAACACCCTTAACAAAATGGTATTTCTCTACAAGTATGGACAACTAATGGATCAAGTAACAATTCACCCACTATCAATCATACACATCCCTGTCGATGACATGTCATACACATCCCTGTCGATGACATGTCATACATATCCTTGTTGATGACATGACATACATATCCTTGTTGATGACATGTCATACACATCCCTGTCGATGACATGTCATACACATCCCTGTCGATGACATGTCATACACATCCTTGTCGATGACATGTCATACACATCCTTGTCGATGACATGTCATACACATCCTTGTCGATGACATGTCATACACATCCTTGTCGATGACATGTCATACATATCCTTGTCGATGATATGTCATACATATCCTTGTCGATGACATGTCATACATATCCTTGTCGATGACATGTCATACACATCCTTGTCGATGACATGTCATACACATCCCTGTCGATGACATGTCATACATATCCTTGTCGATGACATGTCATACATATCCTCATACATATACATATCCTTGTCGATGACATGTCATACACATCCCTGTCGATGACATGTCATACACATCCTTGTCGATGACATGTCATACATATCCTTGTCGATGACATGTCATACATATCCTTGTTGATGACATGTCATACATATCCTTGTCAATGATATGTCATACATATCCTTGTCGATGACATAGACACATCCTAGTCGATGACATGTTATACATATCCTTGTTGATAACATCATACACATCCTTTTCGATGACATGTCATATATTTATACTACTGAAAACAAGTAAAGGAACACCTGATTCTTTGATATTAAAGTAGCTAATCTGTTACGGCGTGACACATTAGGTATAGTAATATAGAAGTAGTAGTCCTTTCCTTATCTTCAGTACTATACATACCGTCGAGTCTATATCCCCATAGCTTTCATGTAGCTTCTGTCTCAACGTTTATGTCATCATAGATGGCTTTCCCCATAAAACGAAATCTAAAGCAACACATGTGTCAATATGTGTTAAAAAGTGAGATCCTTTTTTACATGATTTATGCGTTACTAAGTCTTGCATGATAACAATAACAAAAACAATAGTTCACCCAGGTATTTGATTAATTACAATACACATATCAGCTCACTCTCGTTACTGGAAGATTTGCTTATCTTAACATGCTCAAAAAAACCTTTGTTTTTGCAGTATGGATGAATATAGTATTAACTGGACAACTATTAATATTAACTCCATTAGGTTGATGGAACAGATTTCAACAAAGATGCACTGTGTGTATATTAAAGTAATTCTTTTGGCGTAGTTTTTCTTACACTGTAAATCATGAACTTAATGCCAGAATGAAATTAATGACAAACATGTCAGTGTCACCTGCTTACATCAAGAAAGTGACAAATATTTTGGGAATTTCCTGCTTTTGATTTTATGGAAGATAAATCAAATGCCAAGCAGTTGAAGTAAAGTTTGTGAAAGTTTGTCCTGGAATTGTGTGTACTTTCTTTGTGTTATTTAGCTGATTAGCTAACATGTTCAAAAGCAGGACTGGCAACAATTTCACGACACATTTTAGGCCAGAGGGTGATACTCGCATAAGTTTTGTTATATATTATTTCATGATTTACAGTATACCTCTACATCTGCATATTACCTGTCAAGACAACGTTCACAAAGTCATTCCAATTTTCAGCTTGCTTCAACATAAAAACCTCTCAATACCTTTCACTAACATATTGACTATGTTGTGTTTGATCTTGATATTGACGTTGTCAGGATAGAGGGGACGAAACCATTCTTCAGATACGGTTGCATCATACTTTCTGCCATCATGCATCATGCGATGCATCAATAAATGATGCAATGATAAAAAGGATTAAATACTCCACACAGGCGTCATAAAAATTCAGTTGTAAATAATTGTTACTGACAACAGCTCAGAAATAATTCAGCGTAACCTACAAAATATTTGACTAGTGTTTGATGAGTTTCAAATCTGACCATGAGAAGTATCAATTTATCAACTGTATCTTAAATCTTGTACCATGTATGATACAGTGCAGTCATCTTGTACCACCAGCACAATCTGTACAAGTGTACAGCCCTATTCGTGGTAATACTGTGTACAGTGTACATGCATTCCTCCAAACCAACTTGGAATATAAAAATACTATTAATTTTCTTGTTTTCCCGTTTTTGCAACGGTCATATATTTCAACAGATTTCTTTTCCCTTTTTTCAAATCTGTGGGACCATTGCATCAACATGATAACTGACTAGTAGGGCTGTGCAATATAACCGGTTTACTGGTATTTACCGGTTTAAACATGCAAACGATACGTATTGCGATACACTGATCGAAAACCGGTATTTTGACATGCATTCGGAAAACTTCATAACACCCGGACATCTTCGGATATTTCCATTTTTTAGATTGTTCCTTTCCTTGTTTCATTTGTGCCAAACATTGTTTACATTTTTATTTTGTCATGATTAAAAGTTATTATTAAAGCCTAATCAAGCATTGTGATTTTGCTTTATAAATCAAGCATTAACTCGATTGTAAGTAATTTTTTGTCAAAAACAATTTCTTGCAATATATTGCAATTCATATCGCAATACAAGCTTTCGCATCGCAATATATCGCAATATGAAAATTCCCTGCAATACCCACCCCTAGAGACTAGCCTTCCACTGACCAGAACCAAGGCAATAACCTTGATGGACATTTTGTGATATCTCCTCGAATCACATTCGGACTAGAGTTGATTTGTACCAAGCAGCTGTAACCATGGCGATTTGTAGATCTAGTTACTATAGAGATTCACAGGGTATATTTGTTCCATATTAACCTTCTTTACAAACTGTACCCAGCATGCAGCACCAGGACCGAAACGTTTCGTCCTTGCTGACAACATGAACGTGCAGGGATGCAGTAGACGACATTGCAGCTGCTTGGGTGAGGTTGATGTTGTTGCTTTCAGCTGTGATCACATGACCTCAGGTCGGCTAATCAGCTACAGTGTTGAGATTGCCTTCTCGAGACGTTTTGCGGAACAGGATTTCTTGGCTGTGTTTCTGAGATAGGAGATGAAACCATCTTTCTTCAGATCAATTGTAACGACCTGCAAGAGTGAGTGAGTGAATGAATGAGTGAGATAACCAATCCCATTACTTTCAATACTGTTCAAAGGGACATAACCAATCTCATTACTTTCAATACTGTGCAAAGGGACATAACCAATCCCATTACTTTCAATACTGTGCAAAGGGACATAACCAATCTCTTTACTTTCAATACTGTTCAAAGGGACATAACCAATCCCATTACTTTCAATACTGTTCAAAGGGACATAACCAATCTCATTACTTTCAATACTGTGCAAAGGGACATAACCAATCTCTTTACTTTCAATACTGTGCAAAGGGACATAACCAATCTCTTTACTTTCAATACTGTTCAAAGGGACATAACCAATCCCATTACTTTCAATACTGTGCAAAGGGACATAACCAATCTCTTTACTTTCAATACTGTGCAAAGGGACATAACCAATCTCATTACTTTCAATACTGTTCAAAGGGACATAACCAATCTCATTACTTTCAATACTGTGCAAAGGGACATAACCAATCTCATTACTTTCAATACTGTTCAAATTGACATAACCAATCTCTTTACTTTCAATACTGTTCAAATTGACATAACCAATCTCATTACTTTCAATACTGTTCAAAGGGACATAACCAATCTCATTACTTTCAATACTGTGCAAAGGGACATAACCAATCTCATTACTTTCAATACTGTGCAAAGGGACATAACCAATCTCATTACTTTCAATACTGTGCAAAGGGACATAACCAATCTCATTACTTTCAATACTGTTCAAATTGACATAACCAATCTCATTACTTTCAATACTGTTCAAATTGACATAACCAATCTCATTACTTTCAATACTGTGCAAAGGGACATAACCAATCTCATTACTTTCAATACTGTTCAAAGGGACATAACCAATCTCTTTACTTTCAATACTGTTCAAATTGACATAACCAATCTCATTACTTTCAATACTGTTCAAAGGGACATAACCAATCCCATTACTTTCAATACTGTTCAAAGGGACATAACCAATCTCTTTACTTTCAATACTGTGCAAACTGACATAACCAATCTCATTACTTTCAATACTGTTCAAAGGGACATAACCAATCTCATTACTTTCAATACTGTTCAAAAGGACATAACCAATCTCTTTACTTTCAATACTGTTCAAAGGGACATAACCAATCTCTTTACTTTCAATACTGTTCAAAGGGACATAACCAATCTCATTACTTTCAATACTGTGCAAAGGGACATAATCAATCTCTTTACTTTCAATACTATGCAAAGGGACATAACCAATCTCATTACTTTCAATACTGTTCAAAGGGACATAACCAATCTCTTTACTTTCAATACTGTTCAAATTGACATAACCAATCTCTTTACTTTCAATACTGTTCAAATTGACATAACCAATCTCATTACTTTCAATACTGTGCAAAGGGACATAACCAATCTCATTACTTTCAATACTGTTCAAAGGGACATAACCAATCTCTTTACTTTCAATACTGTTCAAATTGACATAACCAATCTCATTACTTTCAATACTGTTCAAAGGGACATAACCAATCTCATTACTTTCAATACTGTGCAAAGGGACATAACCAATCTCTTTACTTTCAATACTGTTCAAATTGACATAACCAATCTCATTACTTTCAATACTGTTCAAAGGGACATAACCAATCTCATTACTTTCAATACTGTTCAAAGGGACATAACCAATCTCTTTACTTTCAATACTGTGCAAAGGGACATAACCAATCTCTTTACTTTCAATACTGTTCAAAGGGACATAACCAATCTCTTTACTTTCAATACTGTGCAAAGGGACATAATCAATCTCTTCACTTTCAATACTGTGAAAATGGAAATATCAGATCTCTTATATTTTCACTCCATCTTCAATACATGAGACTCCTGTTCTAACTTATGTCTCCACAGATTTGATATTGGGTATTTCACTTTCCAGGGGGTTGATGATATAAAGGGATATTTCCCATTGAATACATGAGCTCTGGGTCCTGATCCACAGAGCAATCTTAAAGTTACTACCTGTCGTAACTCTATAATTTTCCAAAAGGTTGTGAATGTCCTAGGGCTACGGTTTGTGGGTCAGGACCCTGAACAGTCCTTCAGTTCTTGAGTGAGTTGCTGACAGACAAGGTGTCATAAACAGCACCATGATTCCTGACGATGACCTTTTCTGGCAGTGAAGGGACACCAAACACCACTGGCCATCTTTGTCGCTACCCAACATTTTACTTACATTATTCCATAACTTCTTTGAGAGGCTCTCACAGCAATAAAGAAGTTGCTCATCCATATATTGTTGCCCTTCATCACATCATTCCAGTGTGTTTCAACGAAATGTTTTTGAATTATACCACACATGTAAAGGGCAAATCAAAGTAGCAAGTCAATAAATACTGGCTTGAATCTCTTACCCAGAAAGTTTAGCCCACACAGCACGAATGTTGTTAATAAGATTTGTAAAGCAAGTGGGAGGGATCTACTGTTACCTACCTGTCCTCCCCGGGTCACTCCCAGAATGCCTTGTGTCTCATTGTTGAGAGCAGACGCGAAGATGATGTCAGTGGAGACTCGGGTGCAGCACAGACAGCTAGCTGTCTCCATATCACACAGATACAGGTAGCCATACTTGGTGATCATAAACAGCAGGCCGTACTTACTGGACACCTGCCACAGAAACACACAGGTAGGATTGGGTCAAGGACACCTGCCACAGAAACACACAGGTAGGATGGGGTCAAGGACACCTGCCACAGAAACACACAGGTAGGATGGGGTCAAGGACACCTGCCACAGAAACACACAGGTAGGATGGGTTCAAGGACACCTGCCACAGAAACACACAGGTAGGATTGGGTCAAGGACACCTGCCACAGAAACACACAGGTAGGATGGGGCGAAGGACACCTGCCACAGGAACACACAGGTAGGATGGGGTCAAGGACACCTGCCACAGGAACACACATGGAGGTTTGGGTTAAATGATCTTTCAGTTACATCCCTGTACAGCTTGACATATTTACCTGTAGCAAGATGAGGATGAAATAGTTTACCTGTAATGAGATGGGGAAGTCGTATCGGTCGTAATCGTCCAGGTACTGGACATGGTGGTACACATTCCTCGGCGCGAAATTCCCTGTCTTGTATGGACCCAGCTCGATCACATATACCTGTTTGGAAAGCAAGAATGAATACTGTCAGAATGTGAATGACAGCGTATTGTCCAATAGCATTAATATTTTCATCACCATAATAAACCTCACCTTCATTATCATCTTCATCATTATCATCATCATTATTATCAACTCCATCCTCATAACCCTCATCCTCATCCTCATTATAGTCCTCATACTCATTATCATCACCATAATCACCCTCATACCCATTATCATTCTCATCACCACCAAGACCACCATCGTCATCATCTTTATCATCGTCTTTATCATCCTCATCCATACCTTGCCATTATCATCACAATAATAATCCTCTTCATTATCATCCTCATCCATACCTTGCCATTATCATCACAATAATAATCCTCTTCATTATCATCCTCATCCATACCTTGCCATTATCATCACAATAATAATCCTCTTCATTAGCATCCTCATCCATACCTTGCCATTATCATCACAATAGTGAGTGAGTGAGTTTAGTTTTACGCCGCTTTTAGCAATATCATCATCACAATAATAATCCTCTTCATTAGCATCCTCATTATCATCCTCATCATCACCACAACCATCATCAACCTCATTATCATCATCCATACCTTGCCATTATCATCACAATAATAATCCTCTTCATTATCATCCTCATCCATACCTTGACATTATCATCACAATAATAATCCTCTTCATTATCATCCTCATCCATACCTTGCCATTATCATCACAATAATAATCCTCCTCATTATCATCTACATCCATACCTTGCCATTATCATCACAATAATAATCCTCATTATCATCTACATCCATACCTTGCCATTATCACAATAATAATCCTCATTATCATCTACATCCATACCTTGCCATTATCATCACAATAATAATCCTCCTCATAATTATCTACATCCATACCTTGCCATTATCATCACAATAATAATCCTCCTCTTCATGTTCATGCTCATCCTTATCATCCTCACCACCACCACCACCATCCTCCTTATCATAATCATCATCATCATCATCATCATCCGTACCTTGCCATTATCCTGAACATCCCGTGACCCAACACACAGAGCTGTGGATGATGACGGGTTCTCATCGAACTTGTATCTTGTGAAGCAGACGGTGTGTGCGTTGATACACTGCGTGATGTCCTCGTCCACGTTGTACAGCTGTGTCACGCCTGTGATCTTCTCATCCTGTGATAGAACAAATAGAGTAAGTCACTTGACCACATACATTGATGACAAGTCAGTTCGTACCTCCGCATAACACTCAGTAACACCTGAAATGTCCCACAATAACATGATAGCCTTGAAAAATAGTCTTGGTTCTAAGGCACCGTTGCATCATCACAAAGACTGAGGCATGTTTCAATGACATTTTCATTGCTGCAATACTATGAATAACAAGATCCAATGTATGCGCACTGCATCACTGCACATCTTGTGTTATGGTAATGGAACACAAATTGGTAATGATTTACAAATTCAATAGCAGTTTGTGTACTGAATGACAGACCTGTTTCACATGCAGAAATTAATATAACGTATGTATTTGCCTTGTAAAACTAAAGCTTGATCCTCCTGCCTGAAGAGTTACCATGGTGACCACAACAATCTGCTTCAAACTTATCAATATTCCAAGGGCAAAAGAGGTGAGGTGAGGTGAGGTGAGGTGAAATTGGGTATTACGTCGTGCTTGAGAATATTTCGCTCATATGACGACGTGCATGCGTGTGTATTTGTATGTGCGGCTGCTTGTACTAGCCCAGACTGAAGCTGGTTTTATAGTGCTAGCCCACTGAGATACCATGCCTCAGTGAAGCATGAATACCCCACTCAGACACATTATACTGACTCCGAGCCGACCAGTCCTTGTTGTACCCATTAATGCCGAGCACCAGACAGGGACCAACAAGTACTATATTTTAACGTCTTTTGGTATGACGGGGTCGGGAATCGAACCCACGACCTTCCGCTCTTCGGAAGGACGCTCTAACCACTACACCACGGAGGCGGTCCAAGGGCAAAAGATCACCCATTTTCAAATGTCATTGCCTGAGAACTAATTCTGTGTAGGGAAAACACGCCAGAAGACTGCCACCCTATGACTCCACCAAGACCAGGCAGGCCTGAAATGTCATGATTACTTTACCTCTGGAATAAGTCCTGTAAGAGCAAGCCATTTGAGACCAGGGTCGGCCTTGTAGCTGACGATCTCACTGAACATCAGACGAGTGTGTCGGAGAAACATCTTCTCCGGGGGACTGTCAGCTAGAACATAACACACACTGTCAGGTATACAGTCACAGGGTTCTACAGATTATCAGCCAGCACATTTAAGGGGCTTTTCATAAACCAATCACCCATTTTAAGAACTATAGAAACATATATAACACAAAAGTAGTTGAAAACACTCTAGGTCAGGGAGTGTGAGTTTAGTCTTATGCCACTTTTAGCAATATTCCAGCAAAATCACAGTGGGAAACACCAGAAATGGGCTTCACATTGTACCAATGTGGGGAACTGAACCCGCTTTAACCACTTGACCAAACCGCCCCACACTAGTTCAGGGAAATGTGGGACCGACCATCTAAGGGAAATAACTCTTAGCTACATTGCTACACTGGGAAAGTTTTGCTTCACGATGGACATTACTTACCCACTGTAAGGTATTTTTATTACGTATTTGTTTGCTATAAAATATGACTGACAAGTTTTGCTATATATAGAACCTTTTATGGGCAAATCAATTGCAATTAGGGTTCAAGGCTAAATTCAAGGCTAAAATGAATTTAGGGCCTTCTAACACCAAAATGTGCAAATTTCAAGCCTGTGTGAACCCTGAGTCAGATATATATTTGGTATATAGGAAGCAGGAATCGGACAAACAGCTTGTGTCAGATATATGGCCTACTAGGCTTCTGGCCAACAACCTAGCTCACGTCTGAAATATTGTTATCCTAATAAAAGTGTCTGTTCTCATACTATAAAGTAAAATCCAAAAGCAGTCCAACTTAATATGTAATTTAACAGCGGGGAGGCATAAAGACTTGCCAAATCTTTCAAGGCTTGAGTTGGATACATTTTTATAATTCACTGTCCAGGTTTCTGGGCAACAGACGAGTAGTTACCTTGCCAGAGGTCCCAGTGGTAGACAGCGGAGTCGGTCACCATGCCGATGACGTCCGAGTTGAGCCACGTCCAGTACATGATGGGTTCGTGCAACCGCGTCTTGCTCATCATCACCTTGGTGTCAAGGTTGAACACTTCAAACCTCAGTCCCGCTAAAACAGACAAACAACAATATTGGACCATTTCTTATCTCATCCGTGACTGAGTAAATGAGTTTAGTTTATGCTGCTCTCAATACATTCACTCATTCAGAAGCTGATAAGATAACCCTTGAAGATCCAGGTTAGATTTGGTCTTTAGGGACCGTTCATAATTTATGGCGTGTGTGTGTGTGTGTGTGTGTGTGTGTGTGTGACGATGATTTTTAAGGAGAAGCATGTACAATGTGAATGACCCCCCCTAAAATGTATGTACAAAGTTAGTGACCCCCTGCATGTCATGTACAAAGTCGATGACCCCCCATCCCCCTTTCCATATTTTTAAAGCATAATTTTAAAATACTTTTATGTACAAAATTGCTGACAAACACACACACACACACACAAAAAAACAACAACAACAACATGTGTACAAAATTGATGACCCCCCTACCTCCCCAGAACAAAATGGGTGACCCCCCTTAGAATCATCATCACCCTCCCTAGCCATGAATTATGAACGGTCCCTTAGTAACCCATGATTGTCATTTCAGGCGACTAACGGGATCGGGCGGTGAGGCTCGCTGACTTTGGTGACATGTCATCGTATCCCAATTGCATAGATCGATGTTCATGCTGTTGATCACTGGATTGTCTGGTCCAGACACAATATTTACAGACCTAAGCCACTGGAGCATAGCTGAGTGTGGCGTTAAACAACACACAAACAAACCCAACAGTCTCGTTTGGTTGACAGCAGACAGCTTGTGTTGGATTGTTGCGTGAACAAAGTTGCTAATTTCTTAGTGATGTCTACAGTCTCGTGTGTTGTAACCATTAAATAAACTGTTTGGCAAGTTACTATTGTTCATGTAATTATTTTCAATAATTGCCTTCAATGTGTCGTTGAAAAACATGAGGTGAGGTGAGGTGAGGTGAAATTGGGTTTAACGTCGTGCTTGAGAATATTTTGCTCATATGATGACGTGCATGCGTATGTGTATGTGTATGTGCGGCTGCTTGTACTAGCCCAGACTGAAGCTGGTTTTATAGTGCTAGCCCACTGAGATACCATGCTGCAGTGAAGCATGAATATCCCACTCAGACACATTATACTGACTCCGAGCCGACCAGTCCCTGTTGTACCCATTAATGCCGAGCGCCAGGCAGGGACCAACAAGTACCACATTTTAACGTCTTTTGGTATGACGCGGTCGGGGATTGAACCCGCGACCTTCCGCCTCCCGGGCGGACGCTCTAACCACTACACCACGGAGGCGGTTGAAAAACATGAGCGCACACCTTACATATGCAATGCTTAAAATCAATACTGAAAGTCCCTTACCAAGCTTATAGAGAGTCAGGAGTGACAAGGTTTATATACTCTAGACAGATACTACTTTGTAGGTTTTACGTGTCTTGGGTTGTTTACAACATATGTACTCAGTTTGCTGGTATCAGACTGACGAGCTAGTGAGCTCCCATCATACCTTTCAATGCTATGATGGGCTGGCTCGGGTTCATGAGGACTGAATCAGCACTCGTCTGTCCAGCGTACGAAATGGTACCATCTTTAGGGTTCAGGACTGTTACCTGGTGGAGAGAAAACAACCAATCAAAGACAAAAACCCTTTAACGTAAGATTAATTATACTGTTTCACAAAGGCAGTCCTGCCTCAAGGTGGTTACATACTGTGCCACTATCGCCAGTCAGCATTTATGTCAGGGACTAGTGATGTAACGATATGGAAATAGAAATACATTTTTTTCTCATGTGCCTTAGGGCACCTGACAAATATTTGAGATGTGCCTTTCAGAAATCAAGTGTGCCCACATGTTTTTAGAATAAATGACTGTAGCAATGTTGATGATCACTTGAAATTTATTGTTAGTAAACAACAAATGTAACCTGTCTTCTGTTTAAGATGGCTTTCTTAGCTTCATTTGTTCTGCTTTCCCAACACCTTTAATAGCTAAGAATTTTGTGACAGGTTCACTTGTTCAATATATCTAACTTACACAATTTTCTCTTCAATAACAGAACTATCAGTACTTCCACCACTCAAATGGAAAAACAACCACATTTCTCTGGATCATCCATCATAATTCCAGTGATGTCCTGGGCTATAAAGTCAATAGATGTTTCTGCTTGTTTGTCAGTTGCGCAAGTGTTTTGTTTGGGGGATCAAATGACTAGAGGTGTGTTATGTCTCTAACACTTTAGGCGTGCCATAAGGGCACCGAGAACATTTTTTATCCGTGCTATTTCAATATTTACGGTGCCATGGCACGCTAATATATGGGGTATTTTGAACCCTGACAACATTATATTGTGATAAGGGGCTCATGCAAAAAATACATTGATATTTACTTCTGGATAGCAATACATACAATCAATTACTGTATATTACCATAGAAAAGCCGAATTTTGAGGGGAAAAAGCAGTCTGCAGAAAGGGGTCGGCTTATGTACGGGTTACAGTTTCATCATTACAAGTTATATTGTTGTAAAAACATGTAAATGATAAAGGAAACCGTTTAATTTCATGACTAACAATAAACAGCAGAATTACACAGCACCTCCAAGCTCACGTTTCTCCCTTACAACAGTGTTCACGAATGGTGTTTCAAAGTCACAGGACATTGGGTCCTGTAAGTTTCAGATGTCTGTCTGACCCATTGAAAATGCACAGGACCCATGGAATAAAATTAAACACACATTTCAGATTTAATATTTCTTATAATTGACATTGAAATTATTAACAAGCATAAGATTTATAAACAGCAAACAAGTGTCACATGTCACATAAAACAACTTCAGTCAAAGTCATTGTGAAATATACAGTCAGACACTGGGGCCGGCGGGTTGTAGACTTCTGTCTGACCGTTGGCGAATCTGCCGTATTTGTCAGAGGGTCAGACGCTATTCGTGATCACTGCTTACAATATCCAACCTTTGCTAATTGAAATTTGAAAACAAAATGGGAGATGATATGGACTTATAGAACTAAAGGTGCTGTATAAGCATACAAATCATGTCACACCCATATTACTTTGTAGCATATCGTATTGCGGCCTGTGTGTATCATTACACTTCTATCAGGTTCTATTTGTGTGTCTGGGACTTTCAGGAAAACATCAGGGGTACATTGATGCTCTTGACATGAGGGGCGGTGGGGTAGTTCAGTGGTTAAAGTGATGGCTCGTCACGCCAAAGACCCGGGTTTGAATCTCCACATGGGTACAATGTGTGAAGCCCATTTCAGGTGTCCCCCGCCGTGATGTTGCTGGAATATTGCTAATAGCGGCGTAAAAACAAACTCAGTCAGTCAGTCTTGACATGAACATGGGTGTTGGTGGGTGACCACCGTACAACTGAGTACAAGATCATGGACAATGATTGGTCATCAGCTCAAGATAATCAATCACTGACTGTTTAAATATCTGTACAAGGCAACCAATGAATCAGTTATGGACTATGTAGGTTTTCTCCTGTACCACTGTGGGTGGTTCTTTTTGAGAATAAATGAATTGGAATTGGTAATAAATCAATCATATCCAATGCTTGATCTTTGTACAGAGTGATGATGATAATCAGCATATAAAAATGGTTGAGACGACAAAGTGTTCCTCATGTGACCTACCATGGCTGGTTTGCTGATCTCCTCTCGGCTCCCATGTCGTATGGAGATCCAGCGGTCCGAGGTCATGGTGACCCCGGTTCCATGTTACCTGCTCCGGGGGGATCCCTATGTGGGCCAGCTGAAATCACAACACAACCACATTAGGGAAAATTTACTGTTGCTGGATTTAAAAAGGCTCCCAGAGTTTGATGAACTGCACAATTTCCACGATGGGCTGACATCAATCTGCCTGCATCTGATTTAGAATTTTTAATCACATCAATGCCCTTTTCGATCAGTATATCCATTGTTCCGTGACTATACGAGTTAGTAGTGAGTGTCTGAGTTTAGTTTTACGCCGCACTCAGCAATATTCCAGCTATATGGCGGAGAATCAACAGTATGGACATCGATCTACGCATTTGGGATTCAATGAGTCAACCCATTCAGTGGACCTGACCACCAGGTTCCCGTTAGTCACCTGTTTTATGACATTGAAGACACCACCAGTTATCTACTCATGGCATTATTCCTTCAACCATTTATTGTGCAGACAGGGCTGAAGACACCAGGTGGTATATTCTCTCCAGCCATTTATTGTGCAGACAGGGCTGAGGACACCAGGTGGTATATTCTACCCAAACAGGAATGTCTGACTGACTGACTGAGTATGGTTTTTACGCCGCTTTTAGCAATATTCCAGCAACATCACAGCGGGGGACACCAGAAATGGGCTTCACACATTGTGCCCATGTGGGGATTGGAACCCGGGTCATCGGTGTGACGAGCCAACGCTTTAACCATTAGGCTACCCCACCGCCCCCAAACAGGAATGTAGTAGTGGAATGCTAATCACAGACTGTTAATGATGTTAAATGTTATTTTACTTATTCACAATGTCAGAGATCAAAGCCCGTTCCATTCATTCAATGATGTATGCCATGTGATAAGTGTAACTGGAATGGCAGGAACATGTATTGTGTCGAAGATATAGACTAACAACTAGTCTCTGAAATGAACATATTATATTGAAAAAAAATGTTCATAGTAAAAAAAAAATATAATGAAAAGGAGCCCTGACACTTTCTTCATTTTCAGAAGCTGTGGAAATCTAGACTTGCCACATTTTCTAGACTTGCGGGCGCTTTCTTGGATATATATGCTTCAGGGTCTGTACGAGAGACTATCTAAGATGTACAAGTTAGAAAACGGGCAAAGAAGTCTACACATTTGCCACTGACTGACTGACTGACTGATCTGTATTGCACAGAGTTTGGTTTATCAGAAAATTAACTGACTGACTGACAGAGTTTGGTTTTACGCCGCTTTTAGCAATATTCCAGCAGCATCACGGCAGGGGACACCAGAAATGGGCTTCACACATTGTACCCATGTGGGGATTCAAACCCGGTCTTTGGCATGACGAGCCAACGCTTTAACCACTAGGCTACCCCAACGCCCCTACCATTGGCCAATGAAAACCTTTGTCATGCATCTCTGTCCTTCTGCCCCAGGGGCTTTACACCATGCCCCTCAATTGTTTCGTTTTGGAATCAGATTACTGATGAAAAGTCTTCATCACTTTCCCTTGACCATATATTATATGCAACTTTCTATGAATATTATATCAATATCATCTCAACAAATGATTAAAAGCATCTAAGAAAACAGATATTGGCAATAATTGTTTTCACTTTACTTGTCCCTGAATGATCAAGGATTAAATACTGGTACTTTGTGAAACAAAACAATGTAAAAGATCAAAGTCTGAGTGGGTCCAAATCCAAAATTTGCAAAACAGGGAAACATCATGTCATTTTACTGATCACATGAACAGGAACAGGAGTGAGTTTGGTTTTATGCTGCTTTTAGCAATATCATGGCAGGGGACTCAAGAAAAAGGAAAGAAACCTTTCATAATTAACCACTAGACCACAGGACCAGTGAGTGGACAATAATCAGTGTTCCTGTCTGTACTTCACTAGTCCAAAATAACATTCGTAGATTTACAATCAAGACAAAATTCACTGGCCACCTGGACCACTGCAAAGTTGTCATTTAGTGGTCTTGATGAAGGTTTACTAGCCTGGGATCACAGGACCAGCGTAAACTTCGCACACTGAGAAACAGGCTTCAAACACTATGGGGAATTGAACCCTGGTCTTTGGCATGACAAGCAAACGCTTTAACCATTAGGCTACTCCCACCCAAAAAAACCCAACAAAGCAAAACAAAAAAAAAACAACAAAAACCAAGAAACAAAAACAAGTTTCAAAAACATGACTAATCAACCTCTCTTGATATCTGGCTCTTTAGTTGTTCAAACACACACATATTTTCACGACTGACTTTGACCTTGACATGAATGTCATAGTGTACGAAATATGCAAAACTAGTACTAAAGAAATTGCTTATTGAAAAACATTCAAGAGAAGTCTTAAAAGTCTATGAAGAAAATCCAGTGAACCGTTCTTAAAATATCTTGCTGACAATTCAGGTTAACATGCTGAAATCTTCAAAGTGTCGCTGTGAACTTGAAAATTAAGTGAAGGTCACCAAAATCGACTGGGCCCTGCGCCTCCCCTAGATAAAGCTTGGTACTGAATATGAAGTTAAATGAAGTAAAATGTGAAATGAAGGTCAAGGTCACCAAACCTGAGTTGGACCTTTCTTATACTGTGATGAAACTAGGTACCAAATATGAAAAGAATCTAATGAACAGTTCTTGATATTCCAATTCCAATGGACGGACGGACAGACGGAGCCTAAACTATATCCCCTGCTTCGCGCTAAACGCGCGGCGGGGGATAAAAAACAACAAAAAACAAACAAACTGCTGTTTCTGAGAACTAATTACTTTTTTCACAAGCACTGACCAGCACTAACTATTTTAACTACTAGATCAGCTGGAAATTGGAATAATATATTGGCCACCTACAACACACATGGTAATGGAGGACATTTATTTTCTTCTGAGTATAGTGTGATCACCAATGTTTCAAGAGAACACTATAAGACTGACCTGTGCTAACTATGATATTGTGGGGAGGTCAGCATGACCCAGTTACCATTGTGAGAACATGAAACAAGTCACAATGAAAACCAGGTGAAAATACAACTTGGGTCGTGCTGACATCAAACAAGTTGGAAGTAATGTGGCATGCTTGTTAAATTTACCGACTGAGAACAAGAATAGGCGGACTGGTGCCAAACTGGTGGGGTGAGGGAATGGTGTTATATTTGTATAAATATACAATGGTTATCTGTAGAACTGCTGTTAATGTAGTCTACTAGCAGTCTTACACTTAGAACACATGACCAACAGAGGTGTGATTGGGAACAAGAAATGGCAGGACTGATGCCAAAATTGGTGGGGTGAGGGAATGGACCATCATTTTCATAAATATACAACGGTTAGAACTGTTAAAGCAGACAGTCTGCTAGATTGACTGACTGACTGAGTTTGGTTTTACGCCGCTTTTAGCAATATTCCAGCAATATCACGGCGGGGGACACCAGAAATGGGCTTCACTCATTGTACCCATGTGGGGATTCGAACCCGGGTCTTCGGCATGATGAGCCAACGCTTTAACCACTAGACTACCCCACCGCCCCAGTCTACTAGACGTCTTAGACCAAACAAACGAGGTGTGACAGTATACCTGGTTTTAAAAGCCATGCGGTACATTCCACGGTTTTAGGAGGCGAACCAGTATTTCTGTTGATTTATTAGTACTCACTGTTTGCCATAAAATGTATAAGTAGTTTTCGAATGAATAAATAAATTTCACCATACGTATAACAAGATCCAAACACATTCCTCTGATTCACACAAAGGGTATATGATTTAGTGACTGCTTACACGCCACTAAAAGTCTGTTATCAAGACCGCAATATAAAACCAAGGTATGGATAAGCGAGTGATGTTTGAAGAAAACAAAATGGTGGAAAACTTTGAAAATCATCAAAAACTCAAAAGCAAAGGTTGCTTTCATTAACTACAACCTGCACTTTGATTAGACACATGTTCCAGCTATTCGTAAATAAACAATGATCAGTGGGCGATGCCAACATGACTCAGAATGAAAGGCAGACAACATTTGCAGTGTTTGCCCTAGGCATAAAAAATTTAGGAGCCATCATGACTCCCTGGTGTCATGGATATGTTTTTGGGGGTCAACTTCAGTTTGGAACTTTCATCAAGACATCATGATTGTTTTATAACGACAAAAAACAAGATAAGGCAGGACAAGTATTTAATCAGCACTGAGCAGTTAACTGGCAAACATTTAGTTTTAGAATGATGCAAGCTTTTAAATTCACTGTGTATTTGAGATGATTTGTGAATCAAATATGCAGGTTTTCTGCGTCATGGCAAACACTGCATTTGAAGTAGACAATCTATATTAATTGCTAAATTTGAAAAAAGTGCTGATTCTTTTACTCGATAGTCTGAAGTGTAGGGACACATCTAAGATATCCTCCCTCCCTCCCTCCTTCCTGCATGCACACATCATAAATTCAATAACTGAAACACGTCACAAGTCAATCTTAAAGCGCTCAATAAAAAGTTTGGTAATTTTGGCATGAATACAAAATGAAGACAACATTTTACCATGCTTATTTCTCTTACAGTGTGGCTGAACAATGATACAGAAATGTAACAGCAAGTAGCTGTCGATGGAAGTATTCTGCAGAGCTCCAGATAAGATTTAGCTCATGTGGGTACTGTACCCACTGTATTTTTTTGGAGTGGGTATTATGAATGTTGAGTGGGTATTTCATTTTCCGTTACCCACTGCTTTCAAATATGTGCGTATTTCAATCATTTTACTCACCTAAGTATATGTCATTGAGTAAGTTTACTAAGCAGGAAATGATTTCATAAAAAATCACTCATCCTATACTGACAGTACAACACTTGTCCTATACTAACAGTACAACTTGATAGCAACCGATGTCTTTTTCATTACGCAAGCGATTTTTATTAATATATTCCGTACGCATTTGTTTTAAACCTTTTGCGTATCTAACATTTTAAATGCGTAATTGGTACTCAACAATTATTTTTTCAATGCATAATTGGAAATTTTCTATGCGTATTTTACCCGGAAACGCAGCTTATCTCGGCCTCTGATT